GCACTAAACGCCGTAGTCTAAACGGTTGCCAACTGAGGGGGATAAATTAGACCTCGCAGTCAACCGAATTTTTGTTTGCATGGACGTCCGACTGCTGGTTTGAGAATCATGCCGCAATGGCCGCTGCCTAACGTGACATTTGGCACTGTCTCACATGTCGGATGTGAGCCGCTCGCGCCCTGCGGTGTGAACTCCAGGTGCTTGTGCTTGGGGGAGGGGGTTGGTCGCGTACTTAACACACACAGACGACTTGCATGTCACCGCTGCGCCCTCCCCCGTCTGCGGTCTTTTTGACTTGGTCCTGTCCCGGTAGATGCAGCACCATTCTACCCCTATAATCTTAGCCACACAAAATTCACCGTCCCTGCGTCGTCTGGCTGTGGAGCGGACAGTGAAAATCATCCGAACCGACTGTCGAATTGTCATTCATCGCAACGATTATTTAATCTCAGGACCAACCGGACCCCCGTATTTTGTCCCTACATAGGATGGTGGTTTATTTAAATTTATTTGAAAAATAGTAACTTTGACTGAGACAGTGGGCATTCATCAAGATTTCATCATACCGGTGTCAGACCTACATATAAGGTACTCACTTCTAAAAAGACCCATTTTGCAACACAATTTGTACTAAACTGCTCCAGCAGAGGGTGGCCGAACGAGCCCAAGACCACAAAGTAAAGCAGGAGTCAGCACTGGAAATTAAGTTTCGCAAGCTACCTCGTCAGAATTCATCCAAAGATGACAACTGGTGCACAACCTGTCATCCAAGAAGCTGACGGATGAACAAATGCAGGTGTTAAGGCATGAAGCCTCATTCAACACAGCTGATGCCAGACCTGCTAATATGGTTGCTGCAGTAGAATCATATGATTAAACGGATTCCCGACGGAATCCGAAACGTCAGGAAAATAAAACTCTTGTTCCAGTGGTCGAATCCGAAACGTCAGGCAAATAAAACTCTTGTTCCAGTGATCCCATCCTCTTTTTTTTTGAACTGCTTCCTGGAACTCGCATATTCTCTACTATTAACAACAAAAAATAACGTTGGTTGCAGTCAGAAATGCAATCTCACACTATGTCGCTAACCCGAATAGTTGTGGCATAGTCTCGGCCGAAGAATGCATATAAAAACCAGAAGGGTATGAATCCGGATGGATGCGTCAAAAATTGGTATTTAGCCCTCTGTATGTCATTTCTCTATTTCCTACAGCAATCATACTGGCGACCTCCAATTACTTGCAGATGGCGTGAACAAAGCACGTCTGAACGTGGGTCTAACAACACGGCTTATATCCTTTCGTGGATACACCGGCAACGAAATGAATAAATAATATGAACATTTGCCTACGGGCGGGCACGCATTTCTAAGTTGAAAAAGAAAAAAATATCTGATCTCTCCCCCTTATGGTAGCGACCATGTACACTGTTTGTTCAGAAAGGGAACTTATAAAACTGGATCTCTGCTTTTAAAAAGATGGATAGACCGACTGTTTCCGAAGGAATAGGGGTTAAACACCCCAATGATCCTTCCTTCGGCATAAGAGTAGCCCGTACTGACGCTTTTTAAATTAACCTAGTCAAGTAATTTAATGACAAGAGGGAAACGTAAGTAGGAAACCGCTCGATTAAACCTTTGTTGCTTAGATTCCCACGAAGCAGTGATACACAGACGGAGAAACACAAAGCTTAAGCGATGCGTGAGGAGATACCAGCAAAATAACCCTCTTTAACATAATCAGAATGCCTTTTCATAGACTTGCGCCTTGCGGCAAAATAATTCCTCACAGCGACATGAAATATCGTAGTTTTTCGTCATTTTCCATGGTTACCTTTCCTGTGAAGGTCAAAACATCTATAAACATCCCATTGCTACAGCCACGAAAGGGAGGTGATGGGAAATAATCATAATCATACAGTGCCCTACAAAAACAGGAGACAGTAGTTTTTTGTCATTTTCCCTTGTCACCGTTCCTGTGAATGTCAAGACACCCATAAACATCCCATTGCCACTTACAGGAAAGATAAATGATGGGAAATAATATTCATAAATTTATAGTAAATGTTCGTCCGGATTTACCAAGTTATCCTTGACAGTGACTTGTTTCTGAAGATTTGCAATCTGAGTTGTCAGGTCCTGCTGCTGTTTCTTGAGTTTTTCCGTCTCAAACTTCGAGCGCTTTGACTGAAAAAAAGAAGAAAGTTAAAGTTTGTTTTTAGGCTACGGCATGCAAGAAATTTGAAAAAAGGGGCGTGCACATTTTTTGACCTGGATACTGAATGACCGGTGTGCTCTTTGTTTCTCCTCTAACACCTAGAGGCAGTAGGCAGCATTTCTAGCATGTCACGCGGTGTGACTTATGGGCTGGGGTGCACAGGAGAAAACTGGAGATGGGTTGAAGCTCTTTTTACATTTTTTTGATATTTTTTGCCTGGGTATATCATTTTTGATTCGGTAAACGATTACTAATTGAAGAAACGGGCGTACACACAAATCACAGCTTTGATTGGCTAATGACGGACAGTAGTGATTCAAACGTACGGACTAATGATACCGCACGTGACTCGCCGTACTATGAAGCACTAACAGTCTAGAGGTCTTTGAGGCAAAAGTAGACAAGCTACGGTTGAGGGGGGAAATAGATGCAGAATTCATCAAAGGGGATTGGGTAGATTTTATGTGACGCTGCGCGACAGTCTAAACGTATGCATGAACAGTTTATGACTGAATAAAAAGAAAGAGAATGCCAAAATTCCCATTTTACGATTGAAAGGTAGTTTTGGCAAACAATTGTTTTTGATCAGCCATCATCAGGCCTTTACATTGATATGGCAAATAAGTCAAACAAGTATGTACAGGTTTATGTGGTTTGTGGGGTTGGGGGGGGTGATTAGTTAGTTCTTTGTTCCCTCTTCTCTTGGGCGATTGAGTCAGCGTGTTGAGAACGTTGGGTTTTGGAG